TGCCCTACACCAAGAACGCCTCGGAAGCCGTCAGTCGACCCTCCCCACACACCACTCCAGGTGGAGTTTGTTCGCAAACCATAGACAGCTATCAGGTGCGAAGTAGTGCAAACTTAGTCAACGTCGCCACGGCGAGAAACGTCTACAGTCGTCTATGGGACCTCGCGCAGTTGCGAGGCCGGCTGTTAGTACGTCCGAGAAGCAGAAAGACCACGCAGAACTTCGATGGTCGAACATGCGTGCGCCTGCCAACTGCCCGGACGCAACTCGCTCCAAACGCTCCACCACGTCCTCATTTCCAAAGGGCTGAAATCCTGACGAAAGGCTAAATCTGCAGAAGTCGAGAGCTATCTGAATTATAGCCATCCGACCCAGCCTACACTTACGGAGAGAAGACGGTCGCCTGCCTCCCTATCCAGCGCTGTTATTTTGTCTGGGCAGCGTATCGGCTAACGTCAGTTTGAGATGGAGAGCACGGGTGAGCACTGCTTCTAGTGATAGCATCACCTAGTCCACTACCTGAGTCATTATCACGCCAGTCAGCAAACGCTGATGATGGAGTAGAGATCACTGCTGACTCAAATTCTGGTCACCACTCAGTCTCCTCCTTCTCAACTTGGAGGGTTTGATCCACTGCTAGTTTTCGAAAACTTAAACAAGTAAAGAGATAACGCCTATTCGGCACTAGCCATAAATTCACCGTGTGCTACTCCCGTTAGGTTAATCTCAGAAAACTAAAATCCCATGTTGTATAGCACGGAGGGAGAATTCTAAAAACATATGTATTTGCTACTGGAGAGAAAGGGCGATTATTTGAGGGCAGTCTGTTCGCGAGCAAGATGGTCAGAAGTAAGGCTGCTGATTTAAGGTGTTTTTGTGGCTTGATTGAGGGATACTACGGACTGCTAACACAGGCGAAAATGCGAGTCCAAGGAGGCAGATGAGAGCAGCTACGTAGGGGAAACTTCAAGACTGTTCCGGAGGTGAATAGCCGGACATGAAGTCTAGGTACAAAAAATGACGCCAGCTCCGAAGTTGCTGGTCATTTGACGGAATCCGAACCCACATTGAGGTCCCACGAGGCCGAGATTCCTGCAAAAAGTATGGATCGAGTGAACCGCGAGCCGATTGAGTCGTGGGTCTCCGGCCCGCAGTCGATCAAAAAGTACAATTACCTGCCCCTGTTCATACTCACTAAGCCTGCACCAGAAGAAGTAGCCACGCGGGGAGCGCGCAGGCGAACACCCTTCCCAGCGCCCGCGTTGAAAGGCCAAGTAATTACCAGGCTACCGTCGAATGCGGGTGATGAGATCGCGGCGGCTTACGTCTAGAATGCCGGTTGACAAGTCATCGTCACACCAAGGTCAACTATCTGTGATGAAAGGGGAGGCCGTTAATTTTGCTAGGTGGTACGCGTTGGCATAGCGTCTGCGTCCTGCGAATACCGCATCCCCTTGTGCAAGAATGATCTGTGTCTACTGCCGCCTCTGATTTTAAGGCTTTGAACATGAATCCGAAACGTCAGGCTAATAAAGAAGTGGGGATGTTTAAATAGGAGCAGCAGGAACAGGGGATCGTGAGGCGCATCCGGCAGGGCCTGGAACGTTTGTCTGGCAGTCTTTCCTCTGTTGCCGTATTGAATACGGAATCTACCTGTGGCACACATGGAGGCCTTTAGTAACTGCGCAGTGAGGTATGAGAGCTAGGAAATAATCGAATGATAAAGGTGACATCCAACTCCGACCGTTCTCTAACAATGGACTGATTTTGCGACTTTCAGTTTTCCTAGGTTGGCAGTTTTCTGGTCCCCTGGAGAGAAGGTTCAAACCCTCAACGCTCCTTTTGAACTTACTACTGACGACTGCAGTTACCGCTTGAGAACGTGGATTACCATAGCAGTAGGCTAGGCATTAAACCGCAGCCAAGCTTACGGAATACGGACGCCAAAATGATCGTTTTATTCCCAAATTTTTCGCCTGTAACGGTCATGCCGTAGACTTCGTTTTGGTTCGTGCACATTTCCCGATTAGGACACCATTCGTTGACCTGAAACCCCCCGTCTTTTAACCTCCACGTAAGCGGGCATCAGGTTGGTAATCAATCAGGCCCAAAGCCCACTCATGCCATGGCCTAATTTTAGGTGGCGGCTTTTGCCTAGTGAAGATTACCGACCCAAACGGTCGATACTCTACTAAAAATATGTGTCCAATAGCTGTATTCATTAGAGGTGCAGTTTTAAAACTGTATCAAACGTACCGCGCCGTAATTGTTAAACTTCTGAAAATGATTTCAGGTAGTTTTGGCAGCGTAACCGGTAGCAATGAAGACATTCAATCCATGCCTCCTACCTAAAATGAAACCTGTGACAATGCCGAACTTGACACAGACAGCCATAGTTCTGCTCCACATTTATCGGCCTTAAAAACAGGTCATCAAGTCGAAGTACCTGTTATGCAGACATTAAAGTTGATAGGACGTAGGATCGATAGTTGGAAGGAGAGATTTGTTCGCCTGACGCTTCGGATTCACACCCGAACCAATCACCGGCGAACAACAATCCTCTATGAAGGGGCGAGCATTTAATTATCATAGGTATGCAGTGGCATAGCAACTGCATCCTATAATACTGCCGCTTCCTGTGCACGACTTACCCGTATCTGTTGCTGTCGCTGACGATGGGTTCGAGCCTGAATCCGAAATGTCAGCTGAATAAAGCTCTTGTTCCAGAGAGCGATTCTACTTCTCGTCAACTAGCGTCTGTGTCAAGTCAGGCCTTGGTCACACAAGTCCCTTCGGGTTGAAGCCACTGTCGTTAGTGGTCACACCTCGGACAGTTGAGAGGTGATCCAGGATTGGACTTTTACTAAAATGGTGAAACGCTGCAAACGGCAGAAACGATTATGCATGCATCAGTTCGTCGCGTTGACTGAAGGGGTCCGATTCGCTGCGGCAGAAGTCCTAAGGGCCCGAGAGTCGGGATAATCAATTAAAAAGTGCAAGGGAAAGAGAGAGAGAGAGAGAGAGAGAGAGAGAGAGAGAGAGAGAGGGAGAGAGAGGAGACACTCCTCGCTTCCATGGTCCATTAAGTCATACGTTCAACCTCCTTGAAATAATGACTAAAGGTCAAGGGAGACGTTTTCGTGTTCTAGAGGAAAATGGCCTTTATTCTTTATTAAAAATGTGTTATTGCATTGAAATTCTTCGAGTTTTGTGACCCAAGGTCAGGATGGGAGAAACCCTCTTCATTTGAACGCTGTTTCCCATCGTAATGATCGAAGACACCAAATTCAATGGCAAACAGTCAAACACTAAGAACGACTAAGAGCAAGTAAGCCCAGTTATAGAATTCACACTCTTACCTACTGTCGTGGAGCAGAAAGATGAGAATGCGGTAGTTCGACCATCGCGAGCGGCGAGGTGCGCCGCAGCAAAGTGAGTGCAGGGACGTAGATTGACTTTTGGTGATAGCAGACGTGCGCAGCATCTATCCCAATCACTCTTTCCCCCTCCCCCCCCCCACCTGAGTCAGGTGTCAGAGCAGAATCAGAATGACCGGAAGCAGGATCGGGCGAAGTAAATGACGAAACTAAATAACCCGTCTACGCGTGTCATAAGCGTCTAGTCCGAAAACGATCGATCAGTGTTTCCCCAAAACAAACAGAGATGCCTCGGGCCTCAACTGTGTAGCGGATGCCATGGGACCACAATAAAAAGAAGCCCTTAAAGCCTTACTCTCCAACCTGAAAGGAGAACCAAGTTATCCCGTAAGTTGGCAGTCTTCCAAGTCATGACTTTTGGCGCATCGTCCCAGACTAACATGCCCTCAACAGTCTGGCTACTTTTCTTGAGCTGTGTTGTTTGTTTTGGCTCAACCGACACAATGCTGAAGTAAACACGAGCTTCACACGTGTGCCTAAATATTAATTTTATTCACCTACTGACTTTTCTTTCTGCCGTTCGTAGCCAGACCGGAGAATATAATTGATAGAGAGGACTCGTAGCGTATAGGCCGCTAGTTGTGAGTATAACGTTCTCAACAAGCCCATCAGATTGCTTAAAGTGAGGAATATGCACTGGGGGTCGTCAGGACGCTGTCCCCAGAGTCGACCTTTCACTTTCCCAGACATCAGTTCACTGTCAGAGGCGGTCAGTCATCTGATGCAGGGATTGGACGCTGCTGACAGACGCGGCGCGAGACTGTACCCAGGCGTACCACCAAGCCTCCATAGCGTGCGGTATTTGCTATGCGTTCGAAACCTGCCGCTTTGAGCGTCCCGGAATCCGCATCGCCTACAGGGCTGATAGGCGTTTGCTCAATGGCCGTGATAACAGGCCCAGACGCGTCTCTTCACGATTACTGTCCACGATCTACCCTTCGTGGACGAATACGCATCCAACAGTGCAACCGGAGCAGGCATTAATCGGCGTCTTCGCCCCCGGTTGCGCCACGCTCGGGCTGACTATCAACATGGGCGAAACAGTGGTCATGCATCAACCATGACCCAACGCTACACACAATATTTCTCGTATCTACATCAACAGCACCCAACTGAAAGCCGCAGACAGCTTCTCCCATTTGCACAGCACGCTCTCCTGCAAAATCGAAATCGGCGATGGATTTGCTCAACGGGTCTCCAACGCCGGCCAAACCTTCGCCCGGCCGCAGAACCGCGTATCGAATCCAGACGGTGTCCACCTCAACGCTAAACTCACAGGATGTACAAAGCACTTATCCTGACGATACTTCTGTATGGGGCGGAAGCCCGGAGCAGAAACTCCAGCTCTTTTGCCTCATTTTCCTCAGATGGATACTATACCCTAGGTGGCAGGGCAGGATTCCGGACAAAAAAGTATTGCAACAGACCGAAATCCTCAGCGTGCACCCCACGCTGAGGCAACTACAACTACAATGAAACGACAACCTCGTGAGGATGGACGAGGCTCGCCGCTGCCAAAGCGAAAAGAGCAGTTTGCAAGTCACAGGCACCCCTTGATTCGCAATGCCAACCTCAACCCCTCCCCAACATGCCCGCGCTGTCAGCGAACATTTTGCGCACGGATATTCGCGCTTGTCGGATATCGCGAACCCAATGCACCAACAACCTGACAAACCCAACTGCTGCCCCTTGCACCACCCCTGCCCCAAACCACACGGCGCCTACGATGACGGCCGCCTTCATCGCCGGTTATTACAATCTCGGTGTCCTGCCAGCACTGCCATCTACATCGTCCCTGTCACAACGTCCGCGGTGGAGAAGACGGCCATGATGTTGGGTCACTGGTAGACCAATCATCAACACCAATGATATTGGGGGGGCAGCCAAATGGCTCGCATGTTAGTGGGCAAATACTTGTCGTGTTGAGCGCGAACGCATGCGATGAACACCGAGTTCGTTTATTTGTGCGGTCGCGCATCATATGTGTAGTGTAGATGCTGCAGCTTGAGTAATCACGCCACATCTGTCTGATATCTGATGACGACCACGATGATCATGAGTTCGGAGGTGAATTTGAATCTTCAAGGAAATACAGATTTGCGTCCACTGATCCAATCGCCTTCTACTCCCCAACTACCTGGTGGGACCGGTTTTGTCGTGCATAATGATAGGAAACGGGCTCCAGCAAGCGCTGGCTGGTTCTACCTAACTGCCTTTCGTTTGTGCATGTAGAGCAGGTTAGCATAGCTCCACCACTGCTGACTTTCATGTGAACGCTTCCAATTCCTACGCCTGCATCTGACTCCGGTCCTCTGCTGTATCAATTTTGGAGTTTGCCCTTTGCTTAAATTGCCAAAATTTCCCCAAAATTACTTGCGCTCTTTCTAAGCAGGCGAATGCTGCCCTCTAAAAAGCCATTTGAGAATATTGTTACATTCGAGCAGTGTGTCTTGTCACGTAGAAACAGGCAAAACGGTACACTTGCAGGAGTTCGGTGCGGGTAATCTCAGGCAGATCCAAGAGAGAGAGAGAGAGAGAGAGAGAGAGAGAGAGAGAGAGAGAGAGAGAGAGAGAGAGAGAGAGGGTAAGGCACTGCACTGGACGCATCACCGAGTTTGGTTGCGTGAACGGGCGAAATTAAAAGCCATGTATTTGCATTAATTCCCTCGGTATGTATCTTTGCTGATATAAGGCGGCAGCCATTTTGTCGTCGGTAGAGCAATCCTGAATGGGTGTTGCTGAGAATTTGCTGATATGTGCAAGCGCTGTCATCAGCTTGCAGTTGGACATTTGTCGCGCCTACTGTGAGCTTGCTTTGGCGTTGGAATAAGTCCTCTCGATAAGTGGAACAACGTTAGAAATGTCTTGGTTGCCACGAGACACGATTGCAGTCCCGCCGTAGACGCATGCAGTCCAGACTGAAGCCATGATGGTCAAGGAGATAAGGTGTGGTAGACAGGAAGACCAGTTGGTGTTGATAATAAAGGCAAAAGTTGATGATATTGTAAAGAATGAATAAAGGATTTAACTTGTGTTAATGTGCATCCGTAAGGTATTTCGGTCTCTGAATAATGAAGTCGGTATCCTCAGCTTGGATTTTCGATTCTAGACGTAATCCGGGTGCGTTACTCCGGACTGGGAATGTAGTTGTCATGTGGACTGCAATTATGCACTGCTGTCATCATCACTGAACTTCTTTTTACTTCCCTCAACATCCCCCCCTCACACCAATCTGCCTTCTTCTCCTGACAGATTTGTGCACAGGACTGAATGAATCTGCAAATCAAGAAGTTCAACTATCCAAGCTACTTGTCCACTCTAAATTTGGTCCGTACTCACCTTCTGTAAAATCCCTGACGACAATAGACTCGATTCACTGCCAAACACTCGACCTCGCATGGCCTTGCAAAATTGTCCTAATGAGGACTGACCTCAAACCCTCCACGGATGGAGGCCTGACGGCATTTTAGCATTCTTCTGTTCTGCGCTTCGATGACAAGTGATCTCCCAATGCACTTAACGATTTTGTTAGTTGATACACGCGACGGTGATTTAATTTAGCACATGTTCTCTTGTTTCCCTTGTCCTTCGGTTATGGTCAGGATCATAATGGCTGTTTAGCTTTCTTGCCGTCTTCGTATGTCATTAGTCATTTAAAGTAGCCTGCAAATATATGAGCCTATGTTGTCACCTGAAATGCTCGGGTTACTTGAGCTTGTCCTTAAAACGTAAATCGTCATTACTCATATCTGGAAGTGCTGGAATTTCGTCAATGTTTTAGAATACCAGGTTCTGTTTTGAAATCTGTACCGACTCCTTGGTGTTGTTTTATGTTCAGGAGATAGCACGATGTTTAGTGCTTGTTTTTATTGAAAGAAACTAGATAACCTTTCATTGCAACTTATTTATGGAAAATGAAATTGCGGGGCGTATGAGAGGAGCAGGACGGTCTAATAAGCGAATTCCAGATGTCCTTTGTTCGTTGTCCACGAAATTTGACGAAATCTGCATCATATTAGCTGCGGGTGTCCTGTGAGCGGCAACCACATAAATAAAAACTTACGCCTGAGCTTATATACCTTAAATATGCTGATCTATTTCAATTTCGCAGTTATTTTTTTGGAATTTATAAAGGCTACAATTTCTAAATTAGGGTGTCTACAAGGAATGCTGGGGGACCCACTGACGAGCCGAACCCCTCGTAGCTGTATCATGCAACGGCAGATTATCACCGAAACACTTGTGTATGGGCTTTAGGCCAGTACCTGTGCTGTTAGTATGGAATCTCCTGACCCTAAAGTACACTGTTTGTCGGCAGTTAGTGAATATTAGGCGGTTATTCGCTGTGAAGGATTGACTTCTGAGCCTACCGACCGTAAATATGCTGATCTACTCCGAGTTCCAAGTTAATTTCTAAAAAATTAATAAAGGCTTCAAGCACAAACAATCTTCTGGAAAGATGACACTCCGTCATATTTGGCGGTGAGTTTTTTGTGGGTCCCTGGATTAGACATTGAATGTTCGTGAATTATATTGCTCTAATAAACGAAAATGCTGGTTTTTTGGTGTCCTCGTATCACTTCTTCATGGTATTATGTGTCAATAAATATGTCGTCTCCTATAGAATGGGCAATTAAGATTCATTATTTTGCTTACATAACTCCCGTACTATATGAGCGTTATGATATTTTGTCCTCAAAATGTTTAGCCATTCCATAAAGACCATGTAGCTGCGTTCCCGTGTTTTCCGTTCAAACTAATGGCAGTTAAATCTTGCTCCTTAAAGTATTAGCTCATGTATATTGTCATTAATAATATCTGGAAGTTCTGGAAATTCATAAAGTTTTTTTTAAATAGCAAGTTTGGAAGGGTCGTCTCAGTTCGTTTGCTTTAATATCCTACTTTGCTCCCTAGATCATGATTAATATACAGTAGGGGACAGCGTTTTTGGAATAATGCTGACAAAATCTGATTAGTCGACTACAAATCGGGTTTAGTGCGCATTATAAGAAGCGCTTCGCGTCATAACAAACCACATCGCCTGTCAGTATAAAATATTTATGGATGGTGAAATCGAGGAGCACGTAAGAGGGTGATGATGATGATGATGATGATGATGATGATGATGATGATGATGATGATGATGATGATGATGATGATGATGATGATGATGATGATGATGATGATGATGATGATGATGATGATGATGATGATGATGATGATGATGATGATGATGATGAGAACGGCCTGATTAGCTAATTCGAGAGGATGCGGCAGTCAAAGGAGTCTGCAGTTGCCTGGAAGAACTGCAAGCACATTTCACCACTTTGCAACATGGCAACACAAACATGTACACAGACGCACCTGGCCCAGTTGGTCAACCGCTGAGGTCTATCAGATGGCTAATAAGCACTTCTGGTCCAAGCAGCTGGTCAGGGTTTCGACTGACTGAATGAAGGCAAAATAAGCCCGAAATAATACCGTATCGACCTATCTGCATTCTCTGTCGCCCTTCCTCACTGCCATTACAACTTGGCCGACTTCGGCCTGGTAGTTGGTCGCCTGTTCGTGGCCTTTGCCACCCATACAGAGCAACCCTGCGCAGAGGTGTTGCCCTTTTCACCAACATACCTCGCAGGTAATGAGACCCAAACCCAGCTACCGGCAGCGGATGAATCAGCATTGGTCTACAGCATACCCTGCCAATATTGCAGTGCGAGGTATGTTGGTGAAACGGGCAAACGCATCTGCACAAGATTGCGGGAGCACCAGCTTGCAGTCAACCGCGAGGATAAGCTGTCACTGATATATGGCCGCATACAACAGGAAAGACACAGTTTCGTCTTTGGGAAAACAAGCGTCATCGGTCGAGCCGGCGACAAGTTGGCCCAACTGGTTCTCGAAAGTTTGTCCTCAGCTGGCACAATCAACAGAGCCACTGATTTTCATCCGGCCTGCCAGGCGCTACGTACGAGGCTTCAGTCAGTCTAGACGGGGCCAACAGTACTGGATAACAAATTGCGGCTCTCTCAACAGTTGTCGACAAGACCCTATTTTGTAGCCGTACCTGTTAGGAGTCCGAGTTAGGGGCTTTAGGAGTTCAGTTTAGGGATTGTGGCTAGGGTTAGGGGTTAGGCTGGGACTTGTATACTTCAGGTACAGCTACGAAATATGATCCGACCCAACGGTCACCTTCACAGTAGGGGGAGAGATCCAGCTGGGGGTCACACGACCGACACTCCCAAACAGGCGAACGCGATTCGCACATGCAACGGCAACTGATCAGCCCCACTTCATATTCGGTTCTGAAGCATATTCTGACGGTGAGCCATGATGGCCGAGCAATCATCACGCCAGCATCCATCGCGGACGATAAGACTTCAGCAATTAACAACTTGCATGCCGATCATCAAGCCATTAGCGCACCAGCAGCATAGCGACTGCATCCTATAAATACTGCAACTTCCTGTGCACGAATCACCCGTTTCTGTCATTGTCTCTGAGAATGGGTTCTCTCTAATATCAGAAACGTCAGGCGTATAAAGCTCTTGTTCCACCGATCGCTTCTACTTTTTATCTAGATCCTGGAACTCGCATCTTCGCTTGTAATTGAATATTTAATTATTTCTACCCGGCATGGGCCTACGCGGCCACGCGCGTACCCACGACGATTGAATTTACTGCAGTACTGACACACCAAGTCCACCTTAAACCACCGACAACTATCTCCTCTCAATCACCACTAACTCCCCTCCAGCAGCGTTGCAACAGCTAGCAACACCAACACTGCAAGCAACTCACCAGTTCCCAAATTTTCCAGTCCATACTATAGCCGTACACACATGCACCACGCATCGGCCTGTTCGGCCACTTACGGATCCACCACAGTGAGACTGGCGAACCGGTGCAAAGAGCATCGAAACACACACACACACACAAACACGACGACGACAGTTCGACCGTCGATTTCGACGATGTCCACCGTGTGCCCCACAGACTGCATTGTGGAGCAGGAACGGTGACTTACGCAGGGGTTTATAGTGCCAGTAGACTTGCGTAGCATCTACCTACACTCTCTCCTCCTCCCCCGCCTGAGCCCGGTGTCAAGAAGACCGGAGACGGGGGAGGCCGCAGGTGGATGGCTGGGACGGATCCTCGCCTTGGCTCTCCACTCCGCACCCCCTGGTCCACACACAAATGACCAGGATTCTGACCACAAAACAATGGGGTGGTGACAGTGGTCCAGTTGTGCGACGAATGCCGACAACAGGGTCCGCCAGCGCAACCCGCAAATGTTGGCATTTGTTATTACGCAAAGATAACGCCTGCCAGAGTCCGATGTGGCCCCCGTGTTGGTCCAGCGCATCTAACACGTGGCCCGTTTTGAGGGCAAACACACACACACACACGACAGTTCGACCGTCGATTTCGACGATGTCCACCGTGTGCCCCACAGCTGCAGCAGCGGTGGGAGCAGGGACCGTGACTTTCGCAGGGGGTTTATAGTGCCGGTAGACTTGCGTAGCATCTACCTACACTCTCTCCCTCGCCCGAGCCCGGTGTCAAGACAAAGTCAAGAAGACCGGAGCCGAGGGAGGCCACAGGCGGATGGCTCGGACGGATCCTCACCTTGGCGTTCCACCACACCCCCTGGTCCACACAACAAATAACCAGGATTTTGATCAACACAACAGAAATTGGAGGCTGGCACGACCGAAGCCGCACCTAGGCGTGCCGCCAACGCCTGGCTCGGATCCCACACTGTGACGGGAGTGCCATAAAGGCTACATTAAGAAGGAGCCATTGCAGCCTGACTCTCAGACCACCACCAGTCACGGAGGAGGTCCAAGTTATCCCGTCAGTTGGCAACCTTCCAAGCCACAGCTTTCAGCGCACCGTGATAGCTTCAACCGCGTCAGATTGTTTATAGTGAGGATAGGTGTGCTGAGTCGTCGACCTCACTCTCCCTTCCCATTCCCACACCCAACCACTGTCCGAGCCGGTCAGCAGGCTGGAGTGGGAAATGGGCGCGGTGGCTGGCACGGTCGACTGACCATGTCTGCGTGCGCCACGTGCACGACCTAGCCCCCCATACACACACACAACAGGATTTCACACAACGGGGGTACACACACACACCCGTCTCCCTTGCCTTAACTGTCGGCACTGACCACCCCTATTCAGTCACTGCAGAGGCCTACTGCGTCATACACGAACCCGTCCCCCATCATCCATCACAGGCACAAATAGACACCCCTTGTGCAGGCGAGCAGCGTGCTTGTCGGCTCCCTCTCCGTGAGGCCTCTGTGATGCTCCAATGCACATAAGGTTCAAAACAGCCTATCCCCGTTGTGGGTTGGGTTGCGTGGAAGGCCAGGTCGTTGTGTGCTACGCGCAGAGGGGCTGTTCCCAGCTCTGTCAGCCACTGCACCCAATCTCAGCATCAGTTAATTGACTCTCAGTGTACTGGTGCGCGGGAAAGAGGAATGAGGTTAGCACTGGGGACTCGGTCTCCACGGCACTAAACGCATATTACTCCCTATAAATTATTTTACCTGCTTCTAATCTATCACTACACGTCAAAAACCGTGACTTGTAGAGCTGTCAACTGATGGGATGACTTGGTTCTGCCATAACAGAGTGTAAGGTCGCAATGGCTCCTTCTTAAGGTAGCCCTTATGGCACTCCCGCCCTGTTTGGATCCGAGTCGTCCCCTTTGTTGTTTGTGTTTGGACCAGATGTTTGTTATACTACTATCATTGCTAATGAATTCACGCACAAGTCACCATCCCTGTGTCTGCCTTACCATGGGGCGCACTGTGGACATCGTTAGGAACGACGATCGAACTGTCTATTGGGTAGGTGTTCTTCTTGATCGCCTACTTCCGTAACTGAAGACACTAGTGTGTCAACACAAACGAAGCTGTGTACGCACGCTATACCGACGGGTGGAAACTCATTGCAGCACTCCAGTCGCCAAACTGGACGACATGAAGCTCCTCCAAGAACTCTCCAGAGCCAACGGCTATCCGCGAACATTCGTTGAACAGAACCGAAAGCAACCAAGGAAGCGGAATGAAGAACCTAGTCAGCCAAAATCGTGGCGGAGCATTCCATACGTGAAAGGTGTCTCCGAAGCCGTAGCCAGATCCCTCGCGCCGCTCGGAATAGGCGTTGCCCACAGGCCCGACTCAACAATCCGCCGGCAAGTGATGCGGCCAAAAGACCCGATCCCCAAACAGGAGATGTCGGCTGTTGTCTACCGACTTCAGTGCAGCTGCGGAATGTGTAACTACGTTGGGGAAACCGGCCGACGGCTGCAAACGCGCATGCACGAGCATAAGTTGGCCGTGCGAAGGTTGGACCCAAAGTCGGAGGTAGCAACCCATGCCGCCCAAATGGGGCACGTCTTCAACTTTGACGCCATTGAAATTGTGGGCCGAGGTGATGATCATACGGCAAGGCAGGTACAAGAAGCCTGGATGTCTACCGACTGTCCTGTCAACCGCCACATCGATTTACCTGCCCCTTATCTGGTTTTACGGACATTCTTGACGGGGGACAGTCACGGCGCGGGGCAATCGGAGCCACCAATTATCACCGCGGCCGATGAAGATGGGTGGGATTCAGGTCACGGTGACATGCGGGTCGGACGCAGCCACACAGGCGGCACTGGTGGGCCAGGCATCAAACAAAGTGCGCCATAAAAGGAAAGCTGTGTGCAAGACTGCTCAGTCTCTGAAGATGGGTAGAAGAAACGACTACCCGAAACGTCAGACCCCAAATACACCTCTCCCGGTGAACGCCTCCTCTTCTTTTGACACTAGTGTGTGAATCGGCTTAGGGAAACGAGTAGCCGTGCACGATCTCAATCACTCCACTCGGTTGCTCATATCGAGAATGGAAAACAAAGTCAGGCTGGATTGATGGGTGGCGGTAAGATGTGGTTTGGTAGCCCCACCTGATGTACACAATACTGTTTGGGTGGGAGTTAAGGGTTGATGGTTAGGGGTTTAGGACTAGGGGTTATAGTTAGGCGCTTGTGTTAGTGGTTGTCGCAACTATTTCTCAACCATTCAGAGTACAACCGCGCACTCCCAGTACTTTTCTTTTGCGTACAACTACTTGACCTCGTCGTCTGTGCTTTTCCCGTCACCACTTGTAAACCCCCTCCCCCATTACCACCGGTCCCGTATTAGAGGTGACTGAGGTTTGTTTTCTTCGGGTGGGACTAGCAAACCACATCCGACCCTGATGGC